GGCTTGGTCTCTGGAAGCATCTGTAGGGTAAGAAAACACACTGACTTGGGTTCAAGAGTGGTCTCCCCACTGAACCTTGATCCCGTCAGCTGTAATCTGGGAGAATATACCCCCTCACGTGGTGTGAGAATTGAGAAATTACCAGAGAAATGCCTGACACTTAGGAGGGCTCGTTAAAACACAGTCACCCAACCTGAGAGGAGAAGAAAGGGTGTTCGGGGAGAGGAAGACAGACACTGAAAAAGCCAGTTCCATGAGAAACGTGCTTCCTGTCAGGCCCCCCACTTCTGCCTTGGTAAAGTCTCCTTCCTTGTCCTGTGTCCTGTGAAAAGCGCTCAGGGAACTCTTTCTCCTCTTGAGGAAATTTGAAATGGGGTCGGTGAACAAAGGGCTAAGAAAGAGTTCTTGAGACGTTTTGGGGGGCAAAAAGATGATTTCATTCAAAGCAGGGGAGGACAGGACCCAGGGGCAGAAAGAGCTGCCCTGGGGTTGTGAGGACTGACTGATTGTGTACTTTTAAGTTTGTGGAGGTGGGGAGAGAGATAAAATTAGTTTCTGAAGACTTTCTGTATGCTGAAAGCAGGGTCTTTGAGGACCGTGAAGATTAAGCTATTGTCAAGATAAGGTTGCTTTTAGTTTTTAACTACATGTAAACTTTAAGGCGTTAAAGCAGCCACAGACTCCTGGAGGGATGTCACGAGCTGCAGGTGTCTGGGATCTATCAGTGGGCTGCAGGCCGTAAGGGATTTATTTAAACTACATTTTTCTTGCCTTTGTTTCCCTCATCATTCCCTGCCACGCCCCCTTCACACCCCCCACCCCCCCAACAACTTTGACCCTTGAATCTTTAAAGGTTTTTGAAGGTGGAACGTCTCACCTTCTGTGGCTTTGTCTGCTGAACAGGGGCATAGAGATGTCCCTACCTACCGGTCGAAGTTGGTCAGTTGAGAATTTAATAGGAGTTAGGAAAGGCTAAGGCAGCTGTATCTAGAGTTGCTAGCATATGGGAGTTTTCTTGAGTAGAACTTCTTGGCTTGCAGTGAAGGAGTCTTGGCACCAGGTGGAGAGACATGGAAGAAAACAGCAAAACATGATTAAAATAACAAAAAGAAGCCCAAATAAGAATCCTCTCTTAAAAAATTTTATTGAAGGGGCGCCTGGGTGGCTCAATCGGTTAAGCGTCCGACTTCAGCCAGGTCACGATCTCGCGGTCCGTGGGTTCGAGCCCCGCGTCAGGCTCTGGGCTGATGGCTCAGAGCCTGGAGCCTGCTTCCGATTCTGTGTCTCCCTCTCTCTCTGCCCCTCCCCCGTTCATGCTCTGTCTCTCTCTGTCCCAAAAATAAATTAAAAACGTTGAAAAAAAAATTTTATTGAAATCCAAGTTAGTTAACATAGAGTGTAATAGAATTGAGTGATTCATCACTTACATATCAACCCCAGTGCCCATCACAACTAGTGCCTTCCATAATGCCCATCCCCCCACCCAACACCCCTCCAACAACTCTCCGTGTGTTTTCTGGATTTAAGAGTCTCTTATGGTTTGCCTCCCTCTCTGTTTTTATCTTATTTTTCCTTCCCTTGTTCATCTGTTTTGCTTCTTAAATTTCACATCAATGAGATATGATATTTATCTCTCTGACTTACTTAGCTTAGCATAATACATTGTAGTTCCACATTGTTGCAAATGGCAAGATTTCATTCTTTGTGATCACT